ATGGAAGCACAAATGGCTTTAAACACCTGGACATATATAGATTTTTTCATCTTATATATATATTTATAGATATTTATAACAGTAAAGATATGTTTCTCATTACTACAATATACTTGTTTAACTCCTTTAAGCAGCTGTGAAGAAAAAAAAATAAACAAACAAGAAACAAACCAGTTTCACTACAGTCACATCTGATATGTGTGTGTCACAAAATACAAACAGAACAAGCCATGTGTGAGATTGGAGTCAGATCATTCCAGGACAGAACAGCTAAGAGGCAGGCAAAGAGTCTCAGAGGGAGCAGGCCTACATGTCAAATGGTGGTTTGGGGCTCTCCGGGCGGGAGGGACTGGCCTTACCCGGCCGGCTAGAGTTCAAAGACAAGAAAAACAAAGAAAAAAGGAAAAAGGAGGAGAAGTAGTAAAACAATAGTTAAAATACAGAAAGGAACTGGCATCAGAACAACAGAGGATCCACAATGGAAATTAAGAGCAATAGCACTGAAATAAGATAACTTAACTCTGAATCAGGCCTGGTTGAAAGCCTGCAACGGAGGTGGCTCATTTAGCTCTGGTAGAGACATGACATCTGAGATGTTCAGGGTTGATATACTTTTAATTCTCAAGTCTTTTTTTGTTTTTTTTTAATACATGTAGCATGAGAAGTAAAAACCAAACCTTAATAAGATGAGTTGTGATCAACAACAGTTACAAGTTTCCCCAAACACGTACCATCCACATGCAAGAAAAGACTACGGAAGAAGTCACCACAGTACCCAAAAAATACTGAAAGATGTGCTTATTCAAAGCAGAAATATTTTCAACAAAACGTTACACAGTGAACTCCCTGAAAACATTTGGTTGTCCATTTGCAAGGGGGGAGCAGCATATCTATTCCCCTCTCCCTGCTGGGTTCAGGAAAGTCAGCCAAAAATGATGATGCAGGAGAACTGCTGGCAGGAGCCAGCGTGTCACCAGCAGGATGTCACCAGCAGGATCTCCCCAGCTCTGTTGGGGAGCAGAGTGCTGGCAGGTCCGCGTGCTCCCTGCACGCTGAGGTGTGTGCGCTATCTCAGACTTCACTCTAGCAGGACTATGCCGATCCATTCAGTTCCCCCCTTTCTTGATCTCCCTGCCTCACTGGGATAGAAGGTTGATTGCACTGTTCCCAACATGAATTTTTGCACCTTAGAAGTCAAGCTAATACACAGGACATTTAATCTGTTCCTAATGGTGTCACATGTTTTAACAGTATTTTTTCTTCTAAGTCACATTTTTGTTTTCTTAACTACAAGAAAAGAAAATAGCTACAGATCAGTCCTAGGTGCTACAGCTAACGGATGCAGGCAGGACACTTATCCAGGCTAGACCAGGCAGATGACATTACTGGACGGACAGCCACCACTTGGACTTAAGGATGTCCCTGCGGCTGATCTCTCCAAGGAGCCCGCGTACTTCAGGGATCCATGCCACTGAATGAAGGCTACTCTACGCTCACAAAGCAATACAAGACGCACGAGTGAAGACGAAGAGCTCAATCACTAGGCTAGTGTTTTACGACACACCAGGAAGGGGTGGTGGGAGGCAGAGATGTGGGATGGATGAGAGGAGTGACTGTGGCTGTGGAAGGGGGGGAATGGGGAAGCCGCCAGCACGGCATTCGTCGCCAGCTGTCTACAGCCTCGAGTTATAAATCTAAGAGGGACGGTTCAGCCGGTCGGATTATGGTAGGTCGAGTAGGTGAGGCAGGGCCCCTTCTGCTGTGAAAAAGCAGAAAACAAAAACAAGAGAACACACACTGTGGTTAGCACAGCAATCACAGTCACAATCACACATGCTTCTCCACCTCGCCCGAGCCAGCAAGAGAATAAAACTTGAGGCACAAACTACCATCAGAGAACAACTCCACGAAGGAGACAGGTTTGTATCAGGCCTCGCACCGGCTTTTCTGCACAGCAGGGATCACCACTGATCTGCTGGACAGGCAGTTTTACTTCCCCTCTGAAATTTGGAATTGCAGAGATTTATTGCCAGTGAGTGCACTGGCTCTGGAATGAGAGTTGAGAAGCATGGACAACAGTGAGCTCCTGTATCAAGCACATGACAGTCACACAGCATGGATGGGGTCCTCTGAGATGCGCTGCTGTCAGAGGTTCTTGGCTAGTTTGGAGGAGCACCTTCTTCCCCTGCCCTTGAGCTACCACCATAAGCCTGAGATTCCCTATTCCAACACATAATACTGATCTTGGATGTTATGGGCAAGCGTGCTGCTTTCAGTTCTCTGGCTCTGGTGCAAAGCAGCTTCTGCTTACTTCAGTAAAGGGAGGTTTGACCACTGCTACTCCATTCTCTTTCAGCCCTTTTGCTGGTACCTTAGCAAGGTAAGTGGGCAGCAGCCTAAGTGTTTGCCCTCTGCATGGATTAAGTGTTCTAGGAACTCCCTTCCTCCTGTAAAGGACTGAGGAAACACAAAGCCCCAGAAAATACAAGACAACACTCCTGCCTTCTCTCTCAAGTCATTACTTGAAAGAGCATTTCAGACTCAGACTACAGGCTTTAAGAAGTCTACAAATAAAAGTGTTTCATAAGTCAGTGAGTTCAATCTCTATTTTTCCTTTAAAGCATGCTCCCTGCAGCGTCTGCAACCTAAACACCACCATGATGGTGTATCACTAATTAAACTGTTCAGTACCCAGCCAGAGCAGTTTTACACTCCAAACTGCCTGAAATGCAAAGAGCAAACCCAACAGGGTGTAGACCAAGTAGAAAGGAAGTATTTGCACTGACCATGCAGAACCAGAATTAATGCCTGAACAACTCCATACTGACACACTTTAATGTAGATTACAGAGAATCAACTGACTGCTGGAAATGAAGGCTCTCCCCTAACACAGGGGCGAAGGGAAGAGGGGCAGAGGAGGATATTCACACCAGTACAGTCTTCTGAGGTAGGGAAGCCTTTGTTTTACACTGACTCCAAGTCTATAATCATGCTGGTACCAGAGGAGCTATACTCCCATAAACTGGGGCAAGATCCCTCATCTTAGCACGCAAACCAGAGCAACTGCACGGTCCTGTTGATTAGACCTCAGCAGAATTTATTGCTCCATATCTATTAAGCCCCAGATCTCAAAACAATTACAACCACTTGCTCCTTGCCTTGGGAAATGATATATAAAAATGCTTCAGGCACTAAGACATTTCCAAATGTTATTTCCTTGACTGAAAATGTCAATGGGGGCTGCAAGCATGCAGCATGCCAATCAAATTACTGCTCCTGTACAGCAAATGATGGGATTGAGCTAACCTGGAAATTACAACCACTTTGGAAAGATGCTGAAAAATAATACTATCTCCTAGAAACAAAACTTGCAGTGAGATGTTACAGCTGGGGAATGTGTGAACCTGAGCTTCATAACATGTGGGATCTCTGCATTATCTCTAAAGGGTGCTCATGGTGTAAATGAAGCCCTACCAACCATTCCATGGCTACTGCTGTCATTGGAACAGTAATAACACTTGAATTAAAACCTTACAAAACTTCAGCTCAGCCTTTGGTGAGATGCTGTTGTACTGTCACATATGTTAGAAGGCTTTTTTTTAGAAGCTTGAGAGACTTCTTGCATTTCAGGAGTTTGGACAGGTTGTCCTAACAACCTCTGTATATTTACATGAAAAGGACGCTTGAAATCACTAGACTATGTAATGTGTTCTGGCAAGAGAGACCACTTAACACTCCCAGAATAAATAGGGCTGAAAGGAGCACAAATAATTTTCAGGTAGATGGACTGCTCTTTCTGTACTGTACTATAATTGATTTTTGCAGACATTAACTTCTCTCAGCACTCAGAGCATTTTAGGGGTAAAGACTGTCACTTTTTAAAGTTACAGGTTTTGTCTCTGCTCAGGTTTTCTGTAGGTACTCACATAATCTTACTGGTAAGGTTAAAAAAGGCTGAAAACTGTCTTCCAGCAGAGAAAGGGACAGAGAAGTCTCTCAAGACAGGCCACATTTACCCCTGAAATGCTGCTTCAGTCTGTCTCACTACATTGCTAACCAAGCCCTTTTATACCACTGAAAAAAAAATCACTTCTGTCAGGACAAGGAACAAAGTTTTGCTCACAGGGAAGCCTGTGGAAGTCTCCAGTCCATGGGAAGCAAGACCAGAGTCCTGGCAGGAGCCTGAGGAGACTTGTTACAGTGAGTGTCATCTTTGAAGTCAGTCTTGCAAGCC